GTGCACACTCATTTGCATGCAGAGCTACACATGCCTGTGCACCTATAGGTACAAACATGTATCCACACCTGTGTGTGCATTGGTTACACTTGCATATGTGTGTGTGTGAAATATTTCCTAGCTTGGGAGACGCTAGGTTAGAGTTGGGTTAGAGTTGGTTTTCTTCTCTTTTATCTGAAGGGTAGGCATTTCCTGCAGGATTCCCTTCCAAGGCTACACTCAGGGCTGGAGCGGGTGGTGGCCAGGGAGGGCCGAACCTTATTTATCTGGAGGTAGACGTCCACTGTAGCAATGGGAGGCGAGACCCTGTGGCTCGGGGCTTCCTCCTGCCACACCTGCCTGAGTTTCCAGCAGCAACCCTGTCTCTGTGGAGTGGAGAGCTGTGGAGGAGGAGCACAGGGACCAGGACTTGGGTTGCAGGCCCAGCTCACAGATTGCTGAGAGAAAGTCGTTAGTGGGTGACTCACACAAGCAGGGAAGTCCAGTTCTCAGGGTGCCAAAGATGAGCCAGATTAGGCCCCGGGCAGGGGGCTCCAGGCAGTCTTGTGAATGGATTACAGATTACAACTACCTTGGGTAGGGAGGGGAGGGAGGGAGAGAGTTCTATTTACATTCATAATAAACCCTCCCTGTTAATCTTCCAGATGACATATTTTTCTTTTATTTTGCCGGTCATAGGGCCTGAACTCACGGCCTAGGCACTGTCCCTCAGCTCTTCAGCTCAAGGCTAGCGCTCCACCATTGGAACTACAGCGCCACTACCAGCTTTTTCTGCTTATGTGGTGCTGAGGAATCGAACCCAGAGCCTCATGCATGCAAGGCAAGCACTCTACCACTGAGCCACCTTCCCAGCCCCTACTTTTTTTTTTTTTTGAGTTGTTGTGGAACTTGAACTCAGGGCCTGGGCACTGTGCCTGAGCTCTGTCACTCAAGGCTGGTGCTCTACCACTTGAGCCACAGCACTTCTGGTTTTCTGGTGGTTCATTGGGAGATCAGAGTCTCATGGACTTTCCTGCCCCAGCTGGCTTTGAACCACAATCCTCAGATCTCAGCCTCCTGAATACTTAGGATTCCAGGCGTGAGCCACTAGTGTCTGGCTCTCATAATATTCCTATTGTTAAAAAATATGAAAGTATGAGGGGGTGGGAGATGGGAAGGGATGGGAAGGGGAAACAAAGGAGGAGGCAACAATGCTTGATAAGAAATGTACTCATTGGGGCTGGGAAGGTGGCTCAGTGGTAGAGTGCTTGCCTTGCATGCCTGAGGCCTTGGGTTGGATTCCTCAGCACCACATAAGCAAAAAGAAAAAAGCCAGAAGTGGCGCTATGGCTCAAGTGGTAGAGCGCTAGCCTTGAGCTGAAGAGCTGAGGGACAGTGCCCAGGCCCAGAGTTCAGGCCCCATGACCGGACCCAAAAAAAATAAAAAGAAAAATAGAAATGTACTCATTACCTTGCTCGTGTTATTGTAACCCCTCTGTGTGGTATTTTCACAATTTAAAAAATATATATAAAAGTAGGCTGGGAATGTAGCTTAGTGGTAGAGTGCTTGTCTAGCATGTGTGAAGCCCTGGGTTTGATTCCTCAGTACCACACACAGAAAAAGCTGGAAGTAGCGCTGTGGCTCAAGTGGTAGAGGGTTAGCTTGGAGCAAAAGCAGCTCAGGGACAGCGCCCAGGTCCTGAGTTCAAGTCCCAGGACTTGAAAGGAATAAAAAAAAAGTATAATACAACTTTTTTTTTTTTCTCAGTCCAGTCGTGGGGCCTGCACTCTGGGCCTAGGCACTGTCCTTCAGCTCTTCAGCTCAAGGCTAGCACTCAACCACTTTAGCCACAGCGCCACTTCCAGCTGTTTTCTTTTTGCTTATGTGGTACTACTAGGAATCGAACTCAGGGCCTCATGCATGCAAGGCAAGCGCTCTACCACTGAGCCACCTTCCCAGTCCCACAACTTTTTTTTTGTCGGTCATGGGTCTTGAACTCTCGGCCTGGGAGCTGTCCCTCAGCTCTTCAGCTCAAGGCTGAAGCACCACTTCCAGTTTTCTAGTGATTTATTGGAGATCAGAGTCTCACAGACTTTCCTGCCGGGGCTGGCTTTGAACCGTGATACTCAGATCTCAGCCTCCTGAGTAGCAGGATTACAGCCACCGGCGCCTGGCTTTACAAACAACTTCTTGTGTCCAATCACCTGAGACTGGCTGGCCTGCCCTACTTTTTAGTGTTATTCCCTACGAATACTGACCTCTGTAGGAATCAGAGTTTGCTCTATGTGTGTGCGCACATGCGCACACGCGAGCAAAACCGCCAGGGCTGAGGGTCTGGGCTCTCTCCCTGGCTTTTCCGCTCAAGGCTGGTGCTCTACCATGTGATCCACAGCTCTTCCTCTGGCTTTTTAGTGGTTCATTGGTCAGAGTCCTCCAATCTCAGCCTCCTGAGTAGCTAAGATGACAGGTGCCCAGCTACTAAATTTTCTCATTTCCTGAGAACAAGCCCCTCCCTCCTGGGGACCCATCCCATGCTGCCCTGATCAGAAACAAGCACCCTCACTACTGGAGGGTGGGATGGGGCCCGTGGCCAGCCCAAGTATGGAAAGTGGTTTCCCCATCACCCCCTCCTCCCAGCACAGGGCCTCGAAGCCTTCATCTCCTTCCCCAGCCCACATTTTCTCCTCCTCTGCTCACCAGATCCGCTTCACATTCTGTTTATTCAGAAAATAAAGGCCATGAAATCCTGTCTGGCTCTATCTCCCTATCCCCCAACCCCCTATCTATAGCTGCAGGAGCTCAGGCAGGTTCTGTGGTTCCTGAGGGGGGCATCTTAAAGAGGAGAATACAGGAAATCTTTTATACATTTTATAAAAACCTATCAGGAAGCTGTCATTGCCACCATCCCTCCGTCTCAGGAAGCAGGTGGGGGCGGGGAGGGGGGAAATGTGGCTCAAGTAGTACAGTGTTTGTCCCCCACGCCTTGAGCTAAATACCCAATACCTGTGGGCTGTCCCCCCTCCCCCCAACACTAAGCACTGCTTTTGGCAAGCTGTCTGCTGGATTGTGGGCACACCTTTCCTGGTCCCTAGGTTCCACCTATCATCCGAACCCTAACTTCTGTGTAAGGTCTGTCTGGTGATTCCCCATTGGGCTTGTTTCTACTTACTCATTCCATTCATGAGTACCCCCACTGCTGAGCCACACCTCCAGCCCCTTTCCCACACTTTTTTTTTAGATGTTTTTTTTTTGGGGGGGGGTCTGGTCCTGGGGCTTAAGCCACAGCGCCACTTCCAGCTTTTTTCTTTTTTTTTTGTCGGTCGTGGGGCTTGAACTCTGGGCCTGGGCGCTGTCCCTCAGCTCTTCAGCTCAAGGTGAGCGCTCTACCACTTGAGCTACAGTGCCACTTCCGGTTTTCTGGTGGTTTATTGGAGATAGGAGTCTCACAGTCTCTCCTGCCCGGGCTGGCTTTGAACCATGATCCTCAGATCTCAGCCTCCTGAGTAGCTAGGATTACAGGCGTGAGCCACCAGCACCCAGCCAGCTTTTTTCTTATGTGGTGCTGAGGAATCGAACCCAGGGCCTCTGGCATGCAAGGCAAGCGCTCTACCACTGAGCCACCTTCCCAGCCCTTTAGATGTGTTTTTGTGCCATCACTGGGACTTGAACTCGGGGTCTGGGTGCTGTCCTTATCCCTTATCTTTTTTTTTTTTCTTTTTGCCCAAGGCTGGGGCTCTAAAGATGGAAGCCATGGCTGGCTCCACTTCCAGTGTTTTGGTGGTTCACTACAGATAAGTGTCTCATGGAGGGCTGGGAAGGTGGCTCAGTGGTAGAGTGCTCCGCTGGCATGCATGAGGGCCTGGGTTTGGTTCCTCAGCACCAAGTAAGGAGAAAAAGCTGGACGCTGTGGCTCAAGTGGTAGAGCGCCAGCCTTGATCTGAAGAGCTGAGGGACAGCGCCCAGGTCCAGAGTTCAAGACCTAGGACAAAAAAATAGAAATAAAAGCCGGGCTCTGTGGCTCACGCCTGTCATCCTACCTACCCAGGGGGCCGAGATCTGAGGATCGCGGTTCAAAGCCAGCCTGGGCAGAAAAATCCGTGAGACTCTGATCTCCAAGGAACCACCAGAAAACCAAAAGTGGTGCTGTGGCTCAAGTGGTAGAGCACCAGCCTTGAGTGAAAGAGCTCAGGGACAGCGCCCAGGCCCAGAGTTCAAGACCCAGGACTGGAAAAACGCAAAACAAAGAAACAGAACTGTCTAAAGCTCTTACACAGCCCTCTAACTTGGTCGGTTCAGGTCTTTGGTGACCCCCTGCCTGACCCCTGTCCCCGGGCACGCAGCGTGGAGGGCGCCGTGCCTGACCTGACCCTGGACCCCGCGGCGAGGAGGACACTATGCCTGACCTGACCTCCGACCCCGACCCCCGCGGCGTGGAGGGCCCCCAGCTCCGGCCGCCGCAGCCCCACCTGCCCGTGCCGGGCCGGGCGCACAAAGAGCGGCGCTGGCAGCGGCCGGGCCGAGCCGCAGAAAGTAGTCCCGGCCGCTCCCTCGGGGTGTCCGACGTCGGGCACGCCCTCCGCGGGGAGGGCCGGCCCGCGAACGAGTCCGCTCGGAGTGCGCCCCGGGATTGCCGGCTGCGGGCCACCGATCTCGGCCCGCGCGCCCCGGCTCCTCCGGGCGGCCGCGTGCGGCCGCGGGGCGGTGCCGCCGCTCCCCCTTCGCGCCTGCGCGGGCGGCGCCGAGCGGGCGGGGGCGGGGCGGCCGCGCGGAGGGAGACGCGGGCGGCGGAGCGACACTCGTCCATGGCGCGTCGTGCGTCGCCGTGCGTCGTGGCGCGTCGTCCGCCGCGCCGCCGCGCCGCTGCGCGAGGGGCCGGGGCTGAATGAGGAGCGGCGCGGGGCAGCGCGGCGCCAGGGGAGGAGGCGGCGGGATGGGAGCCGACGCCGGCGTCGCGCGGGCCCGGGCCGGGGCGGCGCGGTAGAGAGGGCGGCGGCGGGGCCTGGACCGGCTCCTTTCTTCTTCCCGGGTCGGGGAGCCGGGCGGCATGAGCGAGCACCCCCGCCGCTGCGGCGGCCGCCCCGGCCCCTCGCCTCCGCGTCCAGTGGCGGCGCGGCGCCGCTGAGGAGAACGCGGGGAGGACCATGGGGGCCGTGCTGAGGAGCCTGCTGGCCTGCAGCCTCTGCGCGCTGCTGCGAGGTGAGCGGGGCCGCGGGGGCCGGGGCCGGGGCGCGGGGCCGGGGCGCGGGAGGCCTGGTCGTGGAGGAGGCCGGGGCCGGGGCGAGGCGGCCCGGGCGGAGGAGAATGGCCGTGCCCACCGCCGGGCCTCGGTGCACCCCGCCGGGCGCCAGGCATCCCTCACTCCTCCCGGGCGCCTCGCCGGGGCCCCGTGCACCCCGTGATCACGTCTGGCCGCAGCGCAGCGCTGTCCGGCCGGCTGCCCCGGTGACCCCGGCCCCCCCCCCCCCCCCGCCTCCGCCCCGCTCCCGCCGTGACCCCCGGCCCCCAGCTCCCGCGGCTATCCTGGCTCCGCACTGCGGCTCTCACGGTGTGCGACTCCCAGGTGCGGCCGGCCGGACTCCTCCCAGGTTTGGTCCCCAGCGGGGGTCGGCCGCTCGGGGACGTGGGGTCACCCCTGGAATCCAGGGCGCCGCCCCCCCCCCCTTTCGTCGCGTGTTCAGCTGGGACGTGGAGGGGCCGCGCGGGACGGGCTCCGGACGGTGCCGCCGCCGCCCTCGGGCTCAGCTGGGATCCCCGCGGCGTCCGCCCGCCCTGCCCGCCGGCACCCCCGGAGGTCGCCGGCGGGACCCCGACTCCGGTGAGCGCGGCCGGCCGGCCGGGAAGGCCGGGGCTCGGCTCCCTGCCGTCCCCGGGTTCCGGTCAGCTCTGGTCGCGGGACTGCGGTCCTGGGCGCGGCCGGTGTGCGCCGGCTGTCTGTCTGTCAGTCTGTGCGTCTGTGAGGGTATCTGGGATAAGAGTGACGGCCTCCACTCGTTTAAAGTGTCATTTCACCGTTCAGTTGTACAGCGGGGTCGGGTCATGAGTGCACTTCTTCTTTTTTGGGGACAACTGTACCCCTTTCTCTTTTTCCCAGTTGGCCCCTCCAGGCCTGGCCCACAGGGTTCATGGTTCATTCTCCACATAGTGGCTCCTGAATAGCATGACTGTAACAGCGCCTGTTTCCTCGATTGTGGATATAAATACACCCACGAATAATATAAAACAACATGGATTAAAGGAGGATAACCGTGGGGAAGGAACCCAAAGGTGTAACATACTTTTTATGGAAATGAATTGCAGGAAATGGAAACTTTTTTTTGTAATTGATGTTGTTGGTGGTAGTGTTAGCTTTCTTGTTTTTCTTTTTGGAGAGGGCAAAAGGGGGGGTTGCAGAAAGGGAGGGAGGAAGGATGAACAAATGGTGTCTTTATTTTGAGGAGGAATATTGACTTTCTTTTTTCTTTTCTTTTCTTTTTTTTTTTTTTTTTGGGTCCAGTCGTGGGAACTGAACTCTGGGCCTGGGCGCTGTCCCTCAGCTCTTCAGCTCAAGGCTAGCGCTCTACCACTTGAGCCACAGCGCCACTTCGGCTTTTTTCTTTTTGCTTATGTGGTGCTGAGGAATCGAACCCAGGGCCTCATGCATGCAAGGCAAGCGCTCTACCACTGAGCCACCTTCCCAGCCCGGGAATATTGACTTTCATTACTGCTCTGCACCATTATTTGGCTTGTACATGATATGATGTGTACTTAATAATTATGACTCATGGCAGTCATATTCCCAACTGTCTAGTTCCACATGTAAACTCCAGGAAGATAATGCTTGTTTAATATTCATGTCAGAGTACCCAGCACTGTGCTATGTACTTGAGAAGTTTAATAAGTATCTGTTTACTATAGTGTACTCTTGGCTATTGTATTTGACACGAGACGTTAGCAGAGTCAACACTGGAGAGCCAGTGGATTGCTTAGGTTTGGGGAAATGTAAATCCAAACCTAGGCTGTGTCTGGATGCTCTGTTGTATTTCTTGGAGGAGAAGGGTGTGAGGGAAATGCTGTTTATTTTAACCCCAGATTAGAGTCCAGAGTTGAGTTGGTTCATTACTTGTGTTTGGAGAAGTTTCCCTTGCAGTAATGTGTTTTGAAGTAGGATTATATAAGCCCTAGAAGAATTAATAGTCTCTCTTATTTCTAATAACCAACGTTTTCCAAAGTAGAGCACTTTTATTTTTGTGGTGGTCCTTTGGCTTCAGCTTAGTGTTCTGATGATGACCCTGAGAGAGAGTTTTTTTTTTTTTTTTTTTGCTCAATGCTGGTCTCTACCACTTGAGCTACACCTCCACTTCCAGCTTTTTGGTGGTTAATTGGAGATAAGTCTCATAGACTTTCCCAGTCTGTGCTGGCTCTGAACTGTGATCTTCAGATGTCAGCCTCTTGAGTAGCTGGGATAATGGAAGAGGTTCTGTTTACATTCTCATCTTTCTTTGAGCATGTTGTCCTTAGTCTTGGACTCCCAGGAGTAAAATGTGATGCATTAGTTGTAGTCAGCTCATTTTCTTCACAGAAGAGTTGGAGCTTTAACATTCAGTGTGTGAGAGTTTCAAAGATTCTGTGTCCGGTTGTTTTGTTTAATCAGCAGTGAAAAGCCAGGGAGTCTGTCAACATCCAGACCGCATCTCTTTCCTGCTATCTATAAGGTGACAAGGTGTAATGAAAAAGGCTCAAGATTTCAGCCTAAAGTCTTGGGCTTAGAGCTGAAACTTCATTACTTAAGTTTTGGGTTTCTGGTCTGGACAGTCTTTCCTTGTGCCTTTTTTTTTCTTCATGTATACATAGTAACATATCTCTCTATACAATATATGTATACATATATTTACATATAGCATAGTATATAGTATGTATGTAAAATGTGGGGAGGGATACATGTCTGACTTCTTTGCAGGTTATTAAGCATGTTAAATGAAGGCGCACATATGACTTTTTTTTTGTTCTGGGGCCTGAACTCTGGGCCTGGGCGCTGTCCCTCAGCTCTTCAGCTCAAGGCTAGCGCTTTATCACTTGAGCTACAACGCCACTTCCATCAGTTCCCTCTTTTAAAGATATTAAAATGTTTAAAACTTAAGTTACTCACAAAATTGTGAAGAAAAATGCTCATACCTCCTAACATTTTGTCTTTTCAAAAGTAAGCCATAAGGGCTGGGAAAGTGACTCAGTGGTAGAGCGCTTGCCTTGCATGCATGAGGCCCTGGGTTCGATTCCTCAGCACCATGACTGATCAAAAAAAAAAAAAGGGACTGGTTACTTTTCAATAGTATTTGGGCTGAGCTTTGGATAGTATAATTTTAGAGCTTAAATATTTATGAAAGAAGATCATGTTGGAGAAATGGCGCTGTGGCTTAAGTGGTAGAGCACTAGCTTTGAGCACCCAGGCCCAGAGTTCAAGTCCCATATCCGACAAAAAAAAAAAAAAAGATTGCATCATAATTTTGGTGTTAACTTTTTCTGCCTCATTTCTAGTCTTTATTCCAGATCGTTGCTACCCAATATTACCTTTAGCCACAGTTGTTTCTTTACATTGAAATGAACTAATATTTGTGAAGTTAAAAGTGAACATCTTTTATGCAACTTTTGGGCAGGAAGGTGAGGGAGAAAATGGTACAAAGCAAAGGAAGGGATGACATTGTCCAAAAAGAAATGTATTTGCTACCTGTCTTATGAAATGGTAACCCTTCTGTACAAGACCTTAATAAAAACAATAAAATTATATTAAAAAAAGAATACCTTACTAGCTACGTTTTTATTTTTAAAGTCACAAAGACTTTTTTTTTGTCGGTCATGGAACTTGAACTCTAGGCCTAGTTGCTGTCCCTCAGCTCTTCAGCTCAAGGCTCAAGGCAAGCACTCTACTACTTGAGCCACAGTACCTTATGGACTTTCCTGTCCTGGCTGATTTTGAACCGTGATCGATCCTCAGATCTCAGCTTCCTGAATAGCTAGGATTACATGCATGAGCCACCAGCGCCTGGCTCCACAAAGACTTTTTAATCTTCACAATGATAATCATCACTATCTTAATCTACATTACTTATGAAGTGTATGACCGATAACAATAACTTTTTTATTACAAATCGGGTGATATGTACATTTCTTTCCTTTTGCTTAGTATCAGCTTTCCCTCTTTCTCTCTCATTCCCTTCTTCCTATCACCGCCTTTCAGTTGCTTAGTTTACTTTCATCTATGTCCAGTGCAGCTGATGGGCATTGGTTCACTGGCTACGTTTTAAGCACTTCATAGCATGGTCCTTGCTACTCTGTGTACATCTCCCATCATTGGAAGTCCTGTAGGCCCCCACTACTCCGGAGTTTTTAACTGCTACCTGATGCTATGAAAGTAAATGTGAGAAGTTGAATGTGTCTTTAAAGGAAAAATAAAGAGGGGCTGGGAAGGTGGCTCAGTGGTAGAGCGCTTGCCTTGCATGCCTGAGGCCCTGGGTTCGATTCCTCAGCACCACATAAGCAAAAAGAAAAAAACCGGAAGTGGTGCTGTGGCTCAAGTGGTAGAGTGCTAACCTTGAGCTGAAGAGCTGAGGGACAGCGCCCAGGCCCAGAGTTCAGGCCCCACGACCGGACCCCTTCCCCTCCCCCCAAAAAATAAAGAACATGGAATCTATGCTTCTTCAAATGCTAACAGCCTTAGCTTTCTCAGTTTAATGCTATTTGTTACGTTTGATCTACGATCACCAGTGCTGATCCAAAGCCCAGTTTCTAAGATCCCATATGTTTCCTTCCTTTTTCTCCCAGCGGCCCCTTTGCTGCTGTACGCAAACAGACGGGACTTGCGGCTGGTTGATGCCACACATGGCAAGGAGAATGCCACGGTTGTAGTTGGAGGCCTGGAGGACGCTGCTGCGGTGGACTTTGTGTTTGGCCAGGGCTTGATCTACTGGAGTGACGTCAGTGAGGAATCCATCAAGCGAACAGAACTGAACAAAACCGAGAGTGTACAGAGCGTTGTTGTGTCTGGATTACTGTCTCCTGATGGGCTGGCATGTGATTGGCTTGGGGAAAAATTATACTGGACAGATTCCGAAACTAACCGGATTGAAGTTTCTAACTTGGATGGATCTTTACGAAAAGTTTTATTTTGGCAAGAGCTGGATCAACCTAGAGCTATTGCCTTAGATCCTTCAAGTGGGTAAGTTTCCGTGCAGCGCACAGAGGTCATGGTACCTCCTTTTTCTGGTTTCTCTCCACTGGGAACTCCCCCCTTCCCTTTTCACCATTATCAGGAAGGAATTTTAGATTCTTGGGGCTTGGGGTCTCTTTGCCAACTAGAGCAAATAGAGTTGTATATGGAAAGTTACGTTTTGTTCTGCAGTACAGTATAGGTTTGTTTCTTCTTATAGCAGTTACACAATAGCCATGTTTATAGTTCTTGGTTTTCTTCATTTGTTTATTTTGTAATTATGAGAGGATAATTACAAGGGAAAGAAGGAATGAAGAGCTAATAAGAGTAGTGTTTGGTTGTTTAAAATGAAATAAGAAACTTGATCGTTTAGCGTTACTATGTTTAATCATTTTGTAATAGTAATGTCTTTTATATCAAATGTTACTTTGATAATGTTGTTTTGAAATGTTACCTGATATATCTGTTGGTAAGAAGCTAGCTATTAAATAACAAATTCTTAGTTAACGACACCCTCTTTCTCCCTTTCCTGCCTTTCCTTTCCAGACTGGGGCTTGAACTCTGGGCTTTAGCTCTCCTCTGGCTTTTCACATAATATTTGCCCTCTGTGAGTCATATGTTCAGTTCTGGCTGGTCAGTTGGAGATAAAAATTTTGACAGATTTGCCTGCCTATTCTGGCTTTGAACCAAGATCCTGAGATCTCAGCCTCCTGATTAGCTAAGATTATAGGTGTGTGAACACCTGTGCTTGGCAGAGGTCACTTTTTTTTTGGCCAGTCCTGAGGTTTGAATTCTGGGCCTGGGCTCTGTTCCTGAACTCCTTTAGCTTAAGGCTAGCACTCTACCACTTGAGCTACAGGTCTGCTTCCAGCTTTTTTTGTGATTAATTGGAGATAAGAGTCTCTAGGAAGCCAAGCACCAGAGGCTCACGGCTGTAATCCTAGCTACACCAGAGGCTAAGGTCTGAGGATCACGGTTCAAAGCCAGTCGGGGCAGGAAAGTCCTCGAAACTCTTATTTCCAAATAACCACCAAAAAACCAGAAGTGGCGCTGTGGCTCAAGTGGTAGAGCACAAGCCCTGAGCTGAAGAGCTGAGGGACAGTGCTCAGGCCCAGAGTTCAAACCCCACGACCGACCAAAAAAAGAGTCTCATGGACTTTCTGCCCAGGCTGACTTTGAACCACAATCCTCAGATCTAGCTTCCTGAATAGCTAGAATTACAGGCGTGAGTCACCAGTGCCTGGTGAGGTCATTTTTTTAAACTACCCTTTTGGAGCTAAAAGTTTTTGTGTCATATCAAATAAGTTAGAACCCTAACCTTCTGGGAGGGCAGTCTTGTGTTTACAAAACTTTGGCGATTTTTTCCCTAGGCTCATTTCAGAGCCTAGGCCAAGATAATAACTTCTCTACCATTGAGTAAACTTTCTTTCTGCTTCTTGGATGTCTGTGTTTTGCACACAAGTCTTGGGTCTGACATCGTTCGTCTGTGTGCTACGTGAAGCCTTGTCTTTCCTGCCTCACCACTGGACCAGAAAGTCCCTCAGCTGCAGAGCCCTCTGCAGAGCTAGGGACACACCCAGTCCATCATGTTCTGCCTTTTACACTCCTGTTCATTTTCGGTCTCAGAAGAGTTCTTTTCTTCTCTGTACTAGTACCAGGACCTTGCACTCTTGCTTGGCTTTCTTGCTTGTGGCTGTCCTTGTACCCCTTGAGCCATGCCTCCATTCTACCCTCTACTTTCTGGATGCCTCAGATCTACAGAATGAAAGTATTTTGTGTATATGTGCAAATCAAGTAAGAAAGCTAAGTTGTTGTTCTTGGTGTTTCTAAAAGGGAGGTTTTCTGGTTATCTTGTTACCAAATTACCAGAAATTGGAATTTTACCTTTGATGTTCTGTCTGTCCATTTATTTATTTATTTTTCCTGTTTTTTTTTTTTTTAATTATTTTTTAAATTTTTTTTCTTCTGTCCTTGTTGGGGTACATGTATCTATCTGGTAAGGGGCATGGTTCAGTATTACCAATGTGCATATTAATAACTTAATTATAGATAGGATTGTATAAGTAGCTTCAAAAATTGTGAAGTGAGTTATTTAGATCATTTTGTTTTTATTGTTCAATTCTAAGTATTGTGTTAAGTCACCTTTATGTATAATTATATCTTGTAAAGGAATTCATCCCTTTAGTCTTGTTTATTGAAACAGGACATTTCTGAATATTTTCAGTATGAGAAACCTGGACTCAGATTGAGTGGATATGCTAAATTAGGGACTTGTGTTTACTGTTTTATTCTTAGCTAATCATAGAAATTATGTTTTGTGTGTGTTATATATAGCATAAAGATGTGTAAAATTTATATAGGATAGGCTGGGTACAGGTGGCTCACTCCTGTAATCCTAGCTACTCAGGAGGCTGAGATCTGAGGATAGCAGTTCAAAGTCAGCCGGGGCAGGAAAGATAGTAAGACTCTTACTCCAATAAGCCACTCAGAAAACTGGAAGTGGTACTGTGGCTCAAGTGCTAGGGTGCTAGCCTTGAGCTGAAGAGCTGAGGGACAGTGCCAAGGCCCAGAGTTCAAGCCCAATGACAGACAAAAAAAAAAAATTATATAGAATAAAACGTGTATAAAGTGGTTCATTGTTAATCTGATTGTCAGTTTGAGGTATTTTTTTTTTTTTACTTTCCTACTATAACAGTTTTTGCAAAGTTAATGCTTACTTGCTTTATTTCCCTTGCAGTTGAAATGAAGCCTATCTTCTACCCTTCACTCCATTTAAAAATTATTTTCCAGAAAACATTACAGATGAATATTAGGCCAGACACAGCAATAAAATTACATTCATACGGACACTAGTGAACAGCTTATAACAAGCTGGTGTTGGTTTCCATAATTTTTGATGAATAGCAGATGTGTATACTATTGCAAAATGTAGCTATAACCACATAGATTTAATTCTTCAGTATAACCAAACATGCTTATCCTCTCAATTCAGAGCCAGAATTGACCCTGTTGAAGCCAAAATAAATTAGGTGCCAAGTAGACTACATAATTGGAAAGTTAGTAATGCCTGTTGATGAAGAGAGACTTCTGCTCTGTAAGTCTATAGTCTAGCTTTTGAGAAGCAAAGAGAGGTATTTGTCAGATACACTAAAGATGGTCTTAAAAATAATGTTGCTGGGGCTGGGAATATAGCTCATTGGTAGAGTGTTCCCCTAGCATGCATGAAGCCCTGGGTTCAATTCCTCAGTACCACATAAACAGAAAAGTCTGGAAGTGGTCCTGTGGCTCGAGTGGTAGAGCACTAGCCTTAGCAAAAGCAGCTCAAGGACGGTGCTTAGGCTCTGAGATCAAGTCCCAGTAATGGCAAGCAAAACGTTGCATGATAAAAAGCCTCACAGAATAGATTATTCAACTATTTGAATTTTAACTTTAAGTATTTCTAAGTGACTGTAGATTCTTGGTGTGTGTGTGTGTGTGTGTGTGTGTGTGTGTGTGTGTGTGTGTGTGTGTGTGTGTGTGTGTGTGTGTGTGTGTTGGTCATGGGGTTTGAACTAGTGACTGTAGATTCTTGGTGTGTGTGTGTGTGTGTGTGTGTGTGTGTGTGTGTGTGTGTGTGTGTGTGTGTGTGTGTGTGTGTGTGTGTGTGTGTGTGTGTGTGTTGATCATGGGGTTTGAACTCTGGGCCTGGGCCCTGTCCCTGAGCTCTTCAGCTCAAGCCAAGCACCACTTGTGGTTTTCGGGTGGTTTATTGGAGATAGGAGTCTCATGGACTTTCCTGCCTGGGCTGGTTTTGAACTGTGAACCTCAGATCTCAGCTTCCTGAGTAGCTAGGATTATAGGCATGTGCCCTGCTTAAGTGACTAGGTTCTTTTGCAAGATTAAGTTACAAAAGAAAAAAATAAAACAGCCAATAGGGCGCCAGTGGCTCACGCTTGTAATCCTAGCTACTCAGGAGGCTGAGATGAAGGACTGCAGTTTGAAGCCAGCCCTGGCAGGAAATTTTTTTGTCACTTGTGGGACTTGAACTCAGGTCCTGAGCACTATCTCTGAGCTCTTTTGCTCAAGGCTAGTGCTCTGCCATGTGGAGCCACAGCACCACTTCCAGCTTTTTCTGCTTATGTGGTACTGAGGAATCGAACCTGGGGCTTCATGAATGCTAGGCAAGCACTCTACCATTGAGCCACCTTCCCCGCCCCTCATATTCTCTAGTTGGTAGTTTTTTTGATAGTACTGCTTTCTGTAGAAGTCCAGTTACCACATGAAACAGTAATACAAACCAGATAAAAAGTTACGCAGAGTGATTGGCAGGGGCACAGGCCAGTCTCAGTATTGGAGGGGAGACAAGGAGAGGAAGGTAGAAAGGTTGAGGACAGGGTCAACTCACATTTAGATTAGTATGGAAACAGTATATTTCATTCATGAACCTCAAAGTGATAAAACCAAAGGTCTCTGCCAGGCACTAGGGGGCTCATACCTACTCCGGAGGCTGAGATCTGAGGATCATAGTTCAAAGCCAGCCAGGGGCAGGAAAGTCCTAGAGACTCTTATTTCCAATAAACTACTTAGAAAAATCGGAGGTGGAGCTGTGGCTCAAGTGTTAGAGCCTAGCCTTGAGTACAAAGAGGCTCAGGGACCACTCCCAGGCCCTGAGTTCAAGCCCCAGGACCAGCAAAAGAAAAAAGGAAAAAAAAAATAAAAAAGGTCTCAGCCCCAGAATTACTACACATTTTAACATTGAAATAGGAATAGTAGAAATATATATTACTGTTAATATTTTCTGTGTTTTATCTCAGAAGTGTTGTAAGTTTTGTCAGATCGTCAGTATCGGGTTGGATCCACTGCACCTATAGTTTAATGACCTCTGAGAGTATGGGAGATTCATATTGATGTGAACATGCAAATACCTCAATGTATTTTACAATATTTGTAATTTTATTTAGTTATTGTTAAGTGGATATGTGTATTCCTCTCTTATCCCTCATTTCCAAAGAGAAACACAGCCACAGTAT